AATCTTCTCTCTTAGCCCCAGTACTACCAACATGTTTAAATATAACTTGCATCCCTGGAATCTTTCTCCACCCTGGCCTAGTGCCAGTCCTTGATGGCATTGAACTATTTTGCTGCTTCTGTTCTTCTGATGTGCCCAATAGATCCTTGGCTGTAATTGCAATTAGTCAGCTGGAGACATTCATTCAATACTTGACCTTGACCAATTTAGCAGAACTGGCAATTTACCTGTGTGTCAGTTTAATGAGCCAAATGTGGAACTTGCAGTGGCTTTGGCCTTCAGCACACAGCTTTTATAAAGGATTGTTCCCATCACAGAGGATTCTAGCTGGTAGCATCCTTCCCCTACAAAACCAGGGATCTTTTCTGGGGGCTAAAGCACAATCAAATTCTGGCTTCCATTCCCTGTTTTACATGGACCACAAGGATGTAGTTACCTTATTCCCTTTGGTGCAATGGACTTGTAATTGACTCCTGCTATGGCTAGTACTGACTTGAGCTTGTAACATGAATTCAGAACTCTATGGTGTTTTAACCTGTTTTATTCTTTGCCTAGACTATTGCATACAGCATTCTATGGGACCTGAAGTTCTTGATGAGGTATGCCTGCTACTCAAAGCTTTTCTGGAAACAGTGAAAACTGACACTTGGTGACAGAGGAAATTATCTTTGTGCATAGTGTTTACTAGGAAGATTTTTGACATGAAGCAAGAAATGACAGCACATAAAATCAGTAGGGGCTGTGTTAGTTAGCAGCCTCAGTACTGTAGAAGGGAAAGACTAATCCTAACCCACTAAGATCTAAGTGCTTCTGCTTATAACATCATTGCTGGGAGCTCACGAAGAACTGTCTAGACCAGATCAGTGAGTTGCTATTATTTCCTAAATGGCTAAAATAGCAACTGCTGCTTTTGCATGACTGAAGCCATTTTCTGAGGAAACTGACACTAGAGTGGTTCCTGGGACTTTAAATCTCTTCTCTAAGGAGGACAGCACAAACACTACACTCTGTGCTTACTACAGCCCTGTAAATGTGTAACTTCTCAGCAGTGCTGCTCTCCTGTTTTCTCAAAGCAACCTCTGAACTACTTTGGCGTATGTGGCTAAACCTGAGGTACAGAATAACTCTGACACAACAAAACTCATGTCGTAACAGCCCCCAAGCAGCTGTGCCTGAGCAGTGGGTGCTGGAGCCCCCTGGCAGGCTGTACCTGTCTCACAGGCTTGTGTAAATCCTTGGTGTACAGTGCTGCTGTTGGAGCTGGGAAGTCTACCACAGAGCAGCACAGTGCACAGAGGTCACTCCTCACTCACACACAGGCTCTTACTGAGCTGATACTGTCAGATGAGGCTTTACATCAGTGCAAACTGTACTAAACTGCCTTTTTTTCCCCCTCCTTTCTCCCCATTTCTGTGTTTCTGTAGGAACCTTGCCCTTGGGGGAGGCTTGCTGCTGCTTTTGGCTGAGTCACGCTCAGAGGGGAAGAGCATGTTTGCTGGTGTCCCTACCATGAGGGAAAGCTCTCCAAAGCAGTACATGCAGCTGGGGGGTCGTGTGCTGCTGGTCCTCATGTTCATGACACTGCTGCATTTTGATATGAACTTCTTTTCTGTAAGTATCCAAGTATAAAAGTATGAGATGAGGCACTAGAATATAGTACCGATGCTCAGATGGGCTGCAGGACCTCAGTGTTCATCATCTAAGCTCATCAAGCTGCTCAGTGCTCATCATTTAACTCTATTAGTGGAATTAATAGCTTAGAAGAAGTTGAGATCATCTCTGTCATGACAAGATGGATGTTTTTATGGCTCTAAGAACCACATTTAAGCTTATGGCTTTTCCTTGCAGATTCTGCAGAACATTGTGGGCACAGCCCTGATTATCTTGGTGGCAATTGGCTTCAAGACTAAGCTGGCTGCCTTGACTCTAGTCATCTGGCTGTTTGGCATCAACATCTACTTCAATGCCTTCTGGACCGTCCCAGCCTACAAGCCCATGCACGACTTCCTCAAATACGACTTCTTCCAGACCATGTCTGTCATTGGAGGGCTGCTCCTCGTGGTTGCACTGGGTCCTGGTGGAGTCTCCATGGATGAGAAGAAAAAAGAGTGGTAACAGGAATACAAACACTTCTTGGGACATAATGTATTAAGTCCAGAACTGATTCTTTATGGATTCAACAAAAACTGCCAGCATTTTACACGTACATGCCCCTTTCCTATCAAAGGCACAGATGTCCTGAATTTGATTTACTGTGGCACCAGTAATACAATAGATAAAACCCTATTTCTTCAAGGAATGTTGCCTAGGCTTTCTCTAACTTCCTAGATTTGGAACTAACCCAAGGAAACCTGCATTTTGCTGATGCTTCAGTGAGTTGCAGTAGAACAGTTGCTGTCTTGAATGTCAGCAATGTCTTAAAATTTGAAGAACTGTGAGCAGATGCAGCTGTATCATTGTGTGCTGTTGGGTTCTAGCTATAACTAAAAAAAGTGGATCCCCTTTCTTGCCCTCATCGAAACTGTCTTGTGCATAAGGAGTTCCATTGCTGGTTATAGCATTGCTTAGCAAGGTGGAAAGCAGCATCAGAAAACCCCAAACAGATATCACTGTTATTTTGCTGCTCAGAGACCTGTAATTCCCTTCTGCTCCCAAACAGAAGGCAAAAAGAAAGCCCTGAAAGTAGTTGTACCCCTTTCTAGGTAAGAAAAGGGAGAAGGTTTTCTAACATGTCCCAGTTCTGCCCTCGAGGGGAACAAGGGAGAATTATGTATTGCTAATCAGATTTCAAGATGGAAGCAGGGGAGCTAATCCTGAAGAGACAGAATGTTAGATTCTGTGAAAGTTCTGTGCCAAAAGAACTCTTGATTCAGCATTCTTTCCCCAAAGTTGCCCCTCCTGAATTCCCAAGAAGGGAGCCAAGTTGTGCTGCAGGTTCCCTAAGAAAAGCTCCTTTCTGCTGTTAACCAGCTTCCATCCACGTATGCCCAAAATTCGTATCTGAATTGCAGGTTATTGGTGAAAATGTCTTCAGAACTATGGAAACTTCCCTTTTCCCTGCACTCAGTACATGCCAGATGAGAGCAGTCAATCTTCTAATTTGTAGTCTTTGCTTCTTAGATCCCCTTCTGTCAGTCTCTTGGCTGTAGAAGTCCTAGCTGGCTGGAGAGCTGAGGTGCTGAGCTCTCAAGGACAGTCCCTTCTCTCTGCCAGCTTAGACCACCCTGAGATGTGTAGGGAGGCAATGTGGAAGTCAGCCCTGTGCTGCCACTGGCCCATTCCCAACTCTCTGCAAACGGTTATAGCTGAGGAACGCAAGTGCAAGGCCTGGACAGTGGATAAGCACCAGGGATGGACCTTCAGAGGGAGGAACTCCTCAGCACACCAGTGAGGAGGGGGAGGCCCTGCTTGGCCTTTCAGTGCCACAACCTCTGTGCCATGAACATGCTTAGTGCTGCTCAGAGGAGGCATTTTGTCCTCTGCTAGTCAGCTAGGTGAACCTGTTTTCACTAGATCATGGAAGAATTCTAGACAGCATGAGCCCTACCAACTTCCTACCATTACACTGATTCCTTGCACTGTTGTCTCCCTTGAGGAAGCTGCTCAACTGTTTGTTCAAGGAGGAATTCAGCTGAACATCTCCAGTGGGAGCTGTTTTCCCAGAGTCTCCTGGTAGGGACACTCACCTGGACAGTTCAGCTTAACGGTTGCTTTTAGGAGAGAAAATGAGGCTGAAAGAACTGATGACAAATAGAAGAGCACTGTTGGATGTTAAACCAGTGATTTCATCATCTTAAGGGGAAAATAGCCAATGTAAGGGCAAGATGTGCTGCTGCTGGAGGAATCCAATTGCTGTCACAGAACAGTTAGGGTTGGAAGGGACCTCTGGAGATCATCTAGTCCAACCCCCAGTGTCTGAATTGTGTGGAGGGGTAGGTGGGAGGGGAAGCCAGCATTAAAGTCAGGTCACAAGGAGGTTTCACCTCAAGTGTTGCCTGTGCCTGACTCTTCAAAAGCTAAGCAAACTGGTCCTTTCAGTACAGATCTGCAGCACAGGAGCCTTTTACTCGGTTTCACTGCAGGTCTCATAACTACATGAAGGCAGCCATTCTCACATACCTGAACTGCTGTTATGTTCATAGTATTTATAAATGGAATGATAGAAACTACTCCTGTAAGTAGCCCCTTAAGTTGGCTTTCTCAACTCCCTTGTTTCCTGTCTAAGGAGCTGGATGACAGACTAGTCTGAAATACTGACCAGTTCCCTCTGTGAAAATCATGTCCCCTTTCCAACAAAAGACCCCA